ACATCAAGATCAAAGAGAGCTGTTAAAATTCCTACTGGGGCAACTGCTCTTTTAACTTTTCATTTGGCTCTAATCCATACCACAGAACATTGTTTTCCACAGCTGCCCAAGCCATCCGCTCTGTGGTAAATGTGGCTGCCCACTGTCCCGATGGAGCAACCACAATAGCACCTCCTGTTCCTCGGACCTGGTCTCTCATGTACTGCAAAGACAACTGTGAGGCATCTGCTACTGATTTACCTGTGTGGAGGAAGAAAAAACAATATGGAAATAGATGAAATTAACATATTCTCTAGATGTTACCATTTCCAGATAAATAACACATTTTTAATAACTTGCAAACCCATGTCTCTAAAAGCCAGAGGGCCCTATCTTGCAACATATGCATGGCCTGCAGCGCAGATAGTGCGTCTGTTTCCTAATTTCAAACTTGCACAATTACTTTGTCCTAATGCAGAGTGGTTGAAGGTGTGTTATCTTACCTCTCTCCATGTGTGAAAGAATGAGTCTGGCCAATGTTACTTTAAGAATAGACTCTCCGTGGCCGGTACAAGACACCGCACCGCTAAGGTTATCTGCATATCCTCCACAGCCTTATTTACAAGAAAACATGAAATAAAAACAATAATATTAAATACATTTCACACACTGATGCTCTCAAAGAGAAGATAAACTCAATAACAATAATAAAAGCAAAATAGTGTGTATAATTGAAATGGTCAATAAGAGATTAATAAGTAGTTTGAATAAAGTAATTGTAAGGATGATGATAAGTAAATGATGTCACACCAACAATCGAAGAGTCTCCTACTCTGCCAGCCATTTTATTTCTGATCCCTCCAGTTGATGTTGCACATGCAACATTACCAGCATAGTCCAGAGCAACTGCCCCAACACTATCATTGGCACTAAAATGAGAAAGGTTACAGCACGTAAGTTTAAAGATAAGGCGGGGAGATATGTAACTATCTATATTTAGTTGTTCATATATTAATTCTATTTCATGATACTATCACACCAGGCTATTCAATATGAAAGCATGTAGACATTTATAAGAAATGGGTTAAAGCATAGCCAAACAGGGCAGATACCTACCATTGAGAGTTAAAATCTTCCATTACTCCAGTAATGCATTTCTTGTGTTTTTCCCATTCTTTCCTCTCATACTCAGTCACCAGTATATCAGTGGGAACTGTGCACATACCAATGCTGTCTGCAAACAGGGTAGCACCTCTACCTGTTAACATAGTGTGGGCAGTCTGAGATTTTCCACGGCAGCAAGCATATAAGAGAGAAGGAGAAAAAATATTTCATAACATTGTGATGGATATTAACATTAAGTTAATTTAGAAACATTTCTAAAAAGGATCCAAATCAGGAATGAAATCTTTCTGAGCATCAGTGATCTCCTACTGTTTCTGTTAAAGAGAGACTAAAGCCAAGTGCTTTTAAGATGACACCTTTTCCATCACTGCCCGTGCCAGTGACACGGGGTTGGCAATGTTCTTCACACAAGACACAGCACCACTGTCAAGCATCCTTCCATCCATAATAATGGCATCCAGCTCTACTTCTCCATCTGCATTGAGTGTTGCTCCATGCCCTATAATTAAACATGACAATGTAAACAATGGCTCAGACAAACATTTGATGCACATGTTCTTAGAGCAAGCTACAGTGAGAGTAAAGTGTTGAGTTGCCAGTGCTGAGAAACTAACCAAAATTTAACAACAGACAGGCCATATATTAAATTTTATGTTGCCTTCTTCATCTTCACAAGTCCACAGAGTGGTGACAAAGTAGTACAGAGCAGCACAGTACTTAGGACAGCTTCATCACTGATGTCCAGTTTGTACTGTATGCACTTATACAGAAGTTTTGGTACATAAATTGTATTCACACCGACATAAAACTACATGTGCAGTAGCAACGTATGCATCACTGTGCGGATCATAGTGATCTGCTGTGGTGACCCCTCCAGAAATGGGAAGCAGCCAAAAGAACAACAACATTCGTCCATCCTATCACTTATCCTGAAGAGGGCCGCGGGGGGGCTGGAGCTGATCCCAGCTGACACTGGGCGAGAGGTGGGGTCCGACAGGTCGCCAGTCTCTCACAGGGATGACATGTAGACAGACAACCACACAGAGTCGCACTCACTCCTAGGGGCAATTTAAAGTCGTGAGTCAACCTAAGCTGCATGTCTTTGGACTGTGGGAGGAAACCGGAGCACCCGGAGAGAACCCACACAGGCACAGGAAAAACATGCAAACTCCGCACAGAAAGGCACCGGGTGGACTGAGACTCAGACTCGGAACCTTCTTGCTGTAAGGCCACAGCGCTAGCCACTGCTCCACCATGCCACCCCAAAGAATAACTACATAATAATTTTAAGAACAACATAATATTTCCAGTTCCAGTTGCTCCCCCAAAGATTTCTGAGTATTTCTTTGTTTTTGTTTTTTTTACAGGTACCTGCATAATATTTGGAAAGTGTATTTTTTTCAAGCTTGGTGCATCCACTGAGCCCCCACTGAAGGTATAACGTCAACCATGTAACATTATGTCTTCCACAATTTGTGCAGAAACACATGAATTATATTTAGAGAGCAAATACAATATATACCAGACAATATGGAGTCATTTATAGACATAATCTAACATGTGGATTAGATTTTGGTGCACACTCCATCTGGAATTAAGGCTGGATTATGAAGATCCTGATGAGACTCTTGATGATCTCCAGAAGAGTCTAGATGGATGTTGGCATCATTGCCAGCAGATGGAGACAGCACACAACAAAGTAAAGTGCATTAACAGAGAAGCAGGAACCGAACCTTTACCAATAGGTGTGGCCTAAACTGCATGTAGATCCAGTGCACTCATCAGAAATGACTATTAATTGAGTTAATGCCCGAATATGGTGATGAGCTCCATAATTAGTAACACCCAACCGGTTGTTATACTAGCATTTAGATATGTCACAAAATATATTCAGAATAATTCTTTGCACCTGCATTGAACACAGTGTTATCTTCCATAGTCCTCACAGCTGTCTCGACAGCATCCAGGGCGCTTCCCCCTCTCTTCAGGACAGAAAGCCCTGCACATGCTGCAGCCTTTACTCCATCAATACAGTCCTTAGCCAATTTGCTTGGGATGGCCCACGCCCCACCATGCACAATTACGACTGCTGACATCTTTGAGTTTCTGTAAAAAAGGACAAAGGAGTTTATGGAGTTTCACAAAAGTGGGAAATGCAGGTTAACTAAAATCTACAGTGTTGTTTGTGCATTAGGGGTCCAGTACTAGGGTTCCATTCATGTTGAATTTGTGTCATGAGCAATATGCAAAAGTAAAATTTAAGGATTGCCAATAAAAAGTATGCTACAAAAACAAAAAAAAAAACACTGGTTTACTTCAAAACTGTACTAATTCTAAATATGTTATGTCACCTTCAACCCATTCACTTATTTAAACTGGTTTTAAATGCTAATTTTGTGTCAAGCAGATGTCGTTTAATTCAAATGTAGGGCTAATTCAGATTTCTTCAGTTCAAGCTCATCTCATGCAACCACAATCTCCATACAGCTACTGAATGGCCCTTAAGCATGAATGGATTATTGAACAAGACTATAGGCATGGGCCCAGGGGCCCAAGGGATCAGGGGGTTCCTGGACCAAGGCCTTTGTGTGAAGTGACTGTTGACATTTTTTTGGACAGTCAATTATTAAAAACAGACAAAACAAAAATACAGATGAATAGAAGCACAAACAGATGCTAAATGGGCACAAGAACATGCAAAACAACCTCATAGACAAAAACAAGAAACACATCAATAAAAATTACCACAAAGATGCAAGTGACAAGAAAGACAAGTAAAACAACCAAAAAGAAATGATGTACGCTAAATGTCGAGAACATGGACTACGTGTGAGAAAAGAAGATGTGCGTTTGGTTTTGAATGAGTTGGATGCCAGAGGAGTCGCATTAAGGCAAGCAAGACGTCTGACACGACGGAGCTACTTCTCTAGAGGGCCGAACTTTATCTGGCACCTGGACTCGTATGACAAACTGAAGCCATATGGCATTTGTATCAATGGAAGTATCGATGGCTTTTCAAGGAAGATAATCTGGCTTAATGCATACACAACAAGTAGTGACCCGAAGTTGGT